GTTGGGGGGGAAGACGGGGTGGATGATGGGGGCAGATGGAGGGGCAGATGATAGGGAGCAGGGCAGGGGGCAGATGATGGGGCGCAGGATGGGTTGGGGGGGTGGGACGAGCAGCAGATGACAGGGGACAGCAGGACCCCTTCTGAAGGGACCACCAGGCCCAACTCCCACCCCAAGCCCCGCTCCGTGCCCTGGGCCAGCCCTGGCCCCCAGCGCCAACCACCCCGGTGTGCAGCGCGCCCCGGCTCTCAGGGAGCCCCCCAAAAGTTACCTTCAAAAGTGGTGAGGGAGAGGGGGGTGACGGCCGGGGGACGAGGCCAACACCGAGCGCCTCCCCCTCCATCCCCATGGGTGAGCATTTCTGCCCAGCCAGGCCTGGCAGTGCTAACGAAAGAGCTAACGAGGCCTCTCATCCCTGCCAGGCCGGGAGCACAGAGCAAACTCGCTCCCCCTTGCCCGGAGCAGCCCCATCCTCAGCTCTGCTGCCTCAAGAGCCGTTTCTTCCCTATTTGATGGAAACCTGTTGCACTTAAAAGGTGACTCTTGCTGTAATTCTCCGCTGTTTTTTCCCATCTGCCCGCAGTACCTCCTGGATGGGGTCCTCAGCGCTACGCGGGAATAGAGCTCCCTGCAAAACGTCTTCCAACACGGGTTGCATCCCGCAGACGAGCTTTGCAGGAACCGCGCAGGCTTTATGAGACGACAAGAATCCCGGCAAACTCTCATCCATCGACCTTCGTTAAGGGTTGGCTCGTGGTTAGTGGCACCGGATCGTCCTCCGCACAGCAGCTTTCCTAGACCTTAGAGTGATTTGTACACACCATGCTAATGAACCTGGCCTCATCAGTATGCCCGGCTGTCAATTAAGCAGCTTGCAAGGCCACTGCTTGCTGCTTTGGAACGTGCAGTGGTGGTTGCAGTCGGAAGATAAAAGAATTAATAACTAAATCCAATTTAAATATCAAACAACAAAAGTAAAGGAAAGTGATTTACAGGACGGTTTACCTTCAAAACCCCAAATTCCTGGGGATAATGATCTAAGTTGCACTTCCCATCCTACTTCTGAAAGAACAAGGATTACAGGAGAGCAGTTATACTTACACGAGTCGTTCTGAGGAACGAGCTAAGCCACTTTCCGACACGCAAAGTTCAATGCTCTGTTTTTAGCGTCGCTCTAATGTCGCGCTTGAAACGCTCCAGGCTCTGCCCCAGGAGAATTAAACACAAGCTCACAATGCCAATTCCTCCTCGGGAACGTCGCTTGCTGCAGTTTCTCCTCCAGATTACCCCCTCACGCACGCATACGAGACACCATTTGACACTCTTTAAGCCAAAATTACATTTTCTGCTTGAAGAAGCTCATTAATGTCCGTTTTCCCACCTGAGCAGGGATGGCAGGATTTCTTGCTGTGCTGCGCTATGCTCTTTGCAAGCCAGAAAGACAAGAAAACGTCTGTGCATTTCTCTTGTCGGGGCTGTTTTGGGGTGCAAGCGGAAAAGAGCAGGACGGAGTATCCTCCTCTTCCCCTGGCATGAAGGATGCAGCTTTATTTGCTCTGTATTTCCAGCCAGGGTTGTCCGATTGCAGAGCTAACTTTTCTAAACCACCCCTGGTTGACTTGTGGCAGGGCTGTTCAAATGGGGATGTACCGGATCGTTTTATGTCCGATCATTCACCTAAAAACTCAAGTCACTGGTATACCAAAGCATTCAAGGATACATGCCAAATAATCTTACCCGTGCTGAATTCTGCAGCAAAATGCATTTGCAGGAAGAGGAAATGGTTGAGCGATGCTGATTAAAAGCACCAGAGCTGCCACCACCGAGCGCAGAGGCCATCCACGCAGTCACTAGCGGGACTTTCTGGAGGAAGGACCGTTCCTGGGCCTCAAACAGCGCTGATATCTCCTGTCTGCGGCCCCAGGCCGCAACAGCAACCCCGAACCCATGTGCTACTGCACACCTGGCAGAGCCTGGTACAAAATGTTTTAGTAATGTTTACAGGGGATTTATTAAAACTGGGTGTTTTAAGTTACCTTTGAGAGATTTTGGGCTCTTTCTTTAGAAACACTGATTAGAAGCATTGAAATCAATACAAATAAAAGCATGAATCCAAAGGGGATTAGTTAAACCCCACTGAGTCTCCAGCTGGGGCTTCCTCACTCCCAATTAAGTCATGTTGATTCAATTTACCTCAATTTACTTTAGAAGTGAACTCAGGTGCAGTGAACTGCAAATGCACTGAGCCCCTGGGTAGACACTCATGAGGGATTAATATAGTTGAATGGAGCCACCAGAAAAGTCATTTAGGTTGAAATTTTCAGAACATCCCCACCTAATCAAGTCCCTTGTGTAGCCAAGAACAAACCCTGGTAGTTCCTTGAGCCTCCTGCTGTGACCTGCTTTAGGGCCCAGCTCACGGCCTTCTCCACCAGCCCGGGGAAAGCTCGAAGCCTGGCACACGCGTATCCACGCAGCAGACATGAGCAGCTCCGTGTGCTAATGCTTAGAGCATCCTCGGGTATTTAGGACTTATACACATGCTATACGATGTATTCTACTTACCTTAAATGTAAGAGCTACAATATAAACAAGTGCAAACAGTATCATTTGTCTGTGTATCGAAAAAATGGAAGTGTATTAACTTCCTCCAGCAGAAGTGACCAGGAACGTCGGCTTTATTTCTTAAAAGGGATGAAACCTGAACAGAAAAGGTTAAATTGAATCTGACATATTTATTGGAAAAGTCTGGCCCTCTGTCACATTCTTCACAAGCCACAGTGTAGTCAGTACATTGAATAAGTTAGTGCCAAGTATGTAGAAACAAAAAGGCTTAATTGGTAAAAGATTTCATTAAAACAGAACAAAGATTTAATTAAAAGAAACCCAAGATACGACATAGAAAAACGCGTCCAAAGCACCCTCCGTCTGGGGACTCAACAGTGTCATTGCAGAACAATCAACCAGAAAAAAAGAAAAGAGGAAAAAATAAGCGTGTTGCCACGAGAGCCTGCTGCCTTAAACTCCCTGCTTGGGAACCTCCCGCAGCCCAGAAACGGTCCCCAGCAACACCTGAAACTTGTTGAAATGCCACTAAAAGGCAGAGCAGCCGCTCCATCCTGGGCATGCAAGCTCTGCCCTGCTTTCTCGGGCCGGCCGGCGCAAAGCCAGGGCGCAGCGCTGCGGCAGACAACGAGGCCGGGAGTTTGCTTGCTTTGTACCCCGCTGATGCTCTCCCGACAGAGCCTGGCCCTCCCACGGAGCTTTTAACTTAACTCGGAAACAGCAGCTTCACTGCTGCACGCGCAGAGGTAGATACCGGCACCGAATCCTCAGCTCTCCCGCAAAGCTCGCGCCTGACGCTCGTCCTGACACCCAGCTCTCCGCTGCCTGGCGGAGGAGCCCGGGTTTTGGCTCGGCTCTGGAGTAGGACGCAGGGATCTGAACGTCTCGCCGCAGCGTCGGCCCCGTGGAAACGGGGCGCGCGACAGCGAGGAAAAGAGAAAACGCACCCGGATGGTTTTGCCACAGCTACCGATCAACGGTATCGTCGCGGGGACAAACGCGCAGGAAAACCGTGGGGACCACAGCGGCTCTGAACTGGCCGAGTGCCAGCGGGAAGGGGAGGCAGCCGTCTTCTGGGAGCTGAAGGCCTTCAAATAGCCACAGTGGAGGTCAGATGTGAACAGGTATTAAAGCAAAAATAGCCATAAGTACCTGGTAAATATAACAGGCAGCTTGTAGAGAGAAGGGCTGCCGACTGCCCTGCTGTACGCGCGTGCAGCCGGGCCGGCAGCAACGAGCTCCACACCTCAGCTTCGCAGCCGCTTGCTTCTCGTGGCGCTCTCCTCCCAGCTAACCTGAGTGCACCTCGTCAGCAAAATCACTAGGACTCGAATGAGAAAACTCTGCTCCTGCTCAGCCGGCCAAGCTTGAATTTTCCCAAAGTGGGAAAAACAATTAATTAGTGTCACATCAATCCCAGATCTATCATCAGGCAGGAGGAGTTTGAATCTGCATCAGTAAAACATTGAGGGATCTCTTCCCAGATCAGATGCAATTATTTTTAAAAAGTGTCAAAACTTTTAAAGTACCTAAAAAGCAAGACACTGACCCCGATGTCAGCGGTGCTATGAGGTGGTTAGGACCCAGATCTTCACGCGTGTTGGAGTCTCCGTGACTGATGCAACGTGCAGGCTCTGCAGGTCCTATTCGACGCTCCCGTTCACACGACAGTTTTATCTTGCAGTCCTCCCTGGAAGAAATCCTGGCTTCTGCTCACAATCCGCGACCGAACCTGGTTCTGTGCTAGCCACAAGTGTTGGAAATAGTTTTCTGCAGCACAAAAGGGGTTTCCATTAAAAACAAATCTGTTCTCACTACTGCCGTTCCCAGCATCATCTAGTCACAACTGAGTCTGCATCAACATTGTTCAGAAGGAAGAGTTCGGGGTGAGCAGCGAATCCCAGGTGATACTGGAAGAGGCAAAGAATAAGAGAGTTAGAGAAACCAGCAACCACCAAGCCTGCGACGCGCGTGGTTTAACAAAGCCCAGTAAGAACAAGATGCATCACCGGAAAGACCTGTGCTTCGCCTTAGTTCAGCTTCGAAGACTTTTGGTTACAAATAAAATAGACAGAGAGTATCCGGAGCGGGAACGCAGGCAGCCCCAGGCCACAGGTTTGCAGAGAAGGGCTCGCACCCCTCCTGCAGGTGCGTCCCTGCCTCGCACCCGCTGGGCGAAGGACACCAGCTCCGCCGGGACCCGCGGAGCGGCTCCGCGTCGGGGAGCAGGCTGCTCCTTCGGTCCCGTCCTGCTTAACTGCAGCTGCACGTTTCCCTGTGCAGGAATCAAAAGCGGAAGTTGGGGGATTCCTCTTTTTTTTTTGTGTTTTTTCTCCAGTTCAGGACCCTTAGCTATTCAAACCAAAGCATCTGTTAAAGCAAAATAAACACTTTTTTCACGTAACAGTTTAAAAAAAAAAAAAAGAAAAATAATATAGAGCTTATATATATTTGATGAGATGGGTAATGGGGCCAGTTAATTGCGAGGGCTTAATTAAGCTGCAGGGAGCGTCGCTGCAATCACCGAGGCCGCATGCAGCCGATTAGGAAGGGAAAGCGATGCCGGGCTCGGATGAAGCCGGACAGCCGTTCTGCTGCTGCTCCGTGCAGCATGAGATTGCGCCATTCATTCGCCAGTTATAGTTTAAAGCAGAAGAAACAGCTTGATACAACACAAACGCCTATTTATTAGGAAACAGATCCACTTTGAGAGCATGTCTACACACGGGGATATTCCAGAATAGCTGGGTTTTTTTCTGTAGAGCATTCCCTCAGTCACTTTAACTTTCTTCTTTATTCGGATTAAGTTTTGGGTGTAGACAAGCCTTAGTTAGCACTGATTACACAGTTTGGTTAAGTGAAAAAAATACGTGGTTTCACAGCAGTGGGGTTCTGTGGGGTGGTCACTCGCCCCCTCCCAGAGATAAAGCTGAGTAGACGCTATTTCCCATTCATTTTTGGGCAAATCCCCCCAAAAGGGCTGTGGGAATGGGGGCTGCGTTATCACACTGGCTGCGAGAGCGACATGCAAGTCTGGCTCCGTCCGCACAGACGTGAAATGAGCTATTCCATTCCGCAGACTTTTATTTTCATGCTGAATCAATTCAAAATGGGCTTAAAAGATGTTGGCTGCTCCAAATCAAAAGGCAGGCGCGGCCGTTTGCGAGAGAGCGAGACTTACCGCGAGCGTTTCTTACCGGATAGAAACAAAACCTAAACGGCATTCGTTCTCTCAGAGAATCATGGCAGGCTTACAAATTAATCCTTCCTCTTCAAAAAAAAAAAGAGGATAAAGTCCCCCCAAGAGACACAAGCCACTTCCACGACCCGGCTGGAAAGCTTGCAGAGGAGGAAAGGAAAGTTCCCAGGTCACAGAGCAACACCTATTTGCAACCACCAAAGCACGAGCTGACGTTGGTCGGAGGGAGGAGAGAAGGAACAAAACGGGGCAGCGCTTTCTGCCTTTATCTGCGTTTTCCCTTCCTTCTCAAGGAGATTTTTAGAGCACGAGAAGCAATGAGATTGTCCGATCTCCTGCATGAAGCAGGCTACAGAATCTCACCCGGTTGCTCTGGCCTCTTTCTCTTCCAAATAAAGGTCTTTTATCTACTGGTTTCACTGAAAGGAAAGGGAGGGCTTAATGAAAACCAGTGAGATTTTTTTTTTTTTAGCGCAGTTGACGGTTTGGCCAAGGAGCGGACAGGAGCAGTGTGCCGCCAGGAACAGAAGAGCCAACGAATGTGTGCGCCGTGCCCCACATCAGCCCAAAAAACACACAGAAATCCTCCCAGGCAGGCACCAAGCGGCTAACGGGGACCTGATCCTTCGCCTCTCTTGGCCCTCGATACTGCCTCGAAGGTGGAGGAAAGCATCACGCCAAAGGGAACCAGGAGCACCTCAAACGCCTGCAGCAATGGCAAAAGCAGGAGGGTTTAACTCCTGCGGGACGGGGAGGGAGCCTGTACCGCGCCGCTCGCCTCTCCGAGTTAGCACAGGCTGGTCCGCAGGACGTCAAGACCTTCCCGTCGCTGGCAAGGGTTTCTTTTATAGCCACATATTGCTAGCGATTCAGGGAAAAAAAAAAAAGACCCAAGAAACCAAGTTGAAAAAGTATCTGTCTTTTAATTGAAAATGTAGTTTGTACAAACCGGTTCAAAGGCAGATATGGGGTGGGGGGGGGAATTATTTGCACCAAGAGCAGAAGCCAAGAAGCGAGGAGAACTCGATCCGGAAGCTCCTGCCCAGAGCTACGACCTGTAAATTCTCATTTCTGGAGAGCGGCCAGGAAAATCTCCTCTGACATGTCACAAATCAAAAAACTTGAAATACACAAATCAAAGAGATTCATACAATGATATTACAGAACCCATTGGCCAAGGGAGGCAAGCAGATCCACATTTTACAGTCATGCTGGTCACAAACATGCCTTTGGTTAACAATCCACACCACTTTCCAGTTCCAGAACACGAATTTACACTCTAAGCTTTTTGTTTGGGCCATGGGACAGTGGGATCAGGCATAAAACCTACAAGCGTTACAAGGCAGGAGTTAATTCCAACTGGAATTTTTGAACCTTTAATATATTATGTTTTAGTGCTTGCTAAATTTGAGGAGGGAGCAAGCAAATTTCTGCTGCCTGAAGGGCAGGCGTAGTGTAATCAGTCCTGTCCTTAGTTTAAAACAAAGTGTTTATACCATGCTTAGCAGCTTTGATTTCGTCTTCGTGTCATTTGCTTCTAAGAAACGTGTCAGTAGCATCATCAGATTGTTCAGCAAGTTTCTAAAAACTAGTCCCTTAGCGTACCTAGGGGTCCCGCGACCGCCTTGGGAGCTGCGCGTGGGCTACCCAGGGTCTGACCTGGCAACCGGGAGCCAAGCTTGACTTTGCTCCTATGTCAGTTCTGCCAGCGCAAAGCAGAACCAAGCCGGCATCGCTCTGAGCCACCCGGTTGCGGGAAGCTGTGGATAAGATACTACCAGGAACACAAAATAGGAGAACGCTGTCTCTGGACGTGCCTCCTACCTCCTGCTCAGGGTCACG